ATTTGGTAATAACTGAACATGCGTTAAACAACGTTAACGTTTTGAGGTGGCTTTGGCTCCTGTAAATACATAGGACAGTTAATTTGTGTTGTTTAACGAATGATTCCTCCATAAGTATTACGAACGTAAGAGAAACAACACACGTTCGTTTGATAGTAAGCTATTTTCAACAAAATGCAAATGAGCAGTCTTTCTCCAACTGAAATGCATGTAACCTTCAAAATACACACCAAATTCTAGTTATTATTTATGTTATCATTGCAGTACTAATTATTTTTTGTCCTCGTAATTGATCTCCAGTGGATCTGAACATACATTTTTTCCTTCCTTCGGCATGTAGACCTATTGTTTCAGAAGATTTGTAAACAAGATAAAAATGATATAATTTACATTTTGAATGATCTTTTGAGAATTTACAAGCCAAGAGAGCACGTGAACTATACTCCTACGATGTCTTTGAAACAGGAATCGGGTGGTCAGGTGCGGTGACTTGGTTGATAGCGTGGCATTATACCCCGATGGCGTGGGTCGTTGTTCTTGCTCCAGCTTCCTGGTGTACCTGGACTCTATTGGTTTGAAACGCCGTGGTGTAGCTGGAATATTCCTCACTGTGCCGTAAAACAACATTCACTCGAATACAGTAACAGCCATTGACGTGGGAGTTATTAACCGCAAAGCAAAAATAAATATGGATTGGTCATGTAAAAATTCCCATCAGCTCTTGACTGGTGTATTTGTACGCTTCTCATGTATTCATCTGCATATAGAGAGACCGATTACCATCATATGTTTCTATTTGCTACAAAAGTATCCATGTCATCAACATGATCCATGAATTACATCAAACCTTCCTATTACACGCAGCAATTACATGCATACTTTGTGTTGTTATTTATGACATTTATGCTTGCATTTCTGCGTGAATGATTGTATTTTATTGTTGAGGTCTCTAACACTGTAGGCACATACGTTGTAATATTTAAACTTGAACAACTTACGTCAAAAACTTCTATTTTACGCCAGTGAAATTGTTGCCAACTGTAAATCACATATACTTCATATAATAATCACATTATCACCACAGAAATGTTACAGATGAATCTCAATTAGTGCCCATTACAATTAGCCGAGATTTAACACTCATACCAACGTGTTAACACACAGCTTGTTGAAACCATCGCGTCTGTTGAAAAAACAATCACGGTTCAAACTGATTACTAAAACATTTCCCGATACAGGAACTTATCATCTCACCTGCATGTCTTTTATAAGCAATATCTAACGATCACACGATTGGCATTTTCGAAAAAGAGCGTCCCTGAGATGGCCGGAAGGTGACGTGACAAAAACATGCTGTTCAATCCTGTTCAAGATTGTTTACACTCTTTTCACTGAGTGCGATACGTGTTTCTTAGATTATCAGAGTTACCATGTTACCATTTACGAATACCAAGAACTCGATGGTACATATGGCATAAGTATATTCAATCAGACTATGTGCATATACACGTGACTGTGTATAATATAACGCATATTGGAAGAGTCCAAAAAGGCGGACACGGTTTCGCGAGTACCACATTTCGGATATAACAAACAAACTTCCCTATTAGTGAGGTTCGAAATTTGCAATCACCATGTTTTATTGTATTACAGAAGAGGCATTGCATACACTTATAGAAACGTGGTGTAGTAGTCACCGACATTGCAGTTTGTTGTTCGAATCTTATTATTCCTCCTTTATGATATTGGTTGCAAGACCAATAAGTCATGATTGTGCGCATGCATTTCATCCAAGATGGGTCGAGTCTTGACCAGACAATTCAGTGATTGATCAGTTGGGCATCGCTCCATGTCGGGGTGAGATTACACGCTTTCAGCCACGTCACAGAGCCTGACTATCTGACCCATTATGTCTCCCCGTACGACAAGCATGGGTTGCCGAGGACCATTCTGTCCCGGAATCCTTCGGTCCTCTGAAGATAACTGAGAAAAACAATTTGTGAAAGGCTGGACTTCGGTTACATCTATGTGGAAATTGGGGATAGGGCATAGGGCAAAAAGTAGGCATCCCCATGGGACAACTTGTGCTCACCTCCTTGCTGGTCTGTTTCTTTATGCATACGAGTCAGACTTTCTGCTCGGATTGGGAAATTTCAGGGAATTTCGTCAAGATGTTTCACTTACTAATAGGCTTTAGGTACATCGATGATCTGGTATGGTTCACCAATGGTCATATACCAATTCCCTGCCACTGATTTATCCACCTGAGCTAGAAATAAAAAGACCAGTAAAACCGCTTCATCGTGTCATAATTAAATTTAAGCATTAATATCCAGAGTGACAAAAACTATCCAACAGACTTTATGACAAGAGTGATGTCTTTAACTTTACAATAGTCAACTTTCCCTTCAAGTCGAGCAATATTCCAGCAACTCCAGCCTTTAGCATCTACATTTTCACAACGTTTGAGGTACAATGGGACATGCTCTTTCCAGGAAGATTTCAAAGAGTGCTATACGTCTCTTGCTCAAAACTTGTTTGATCAGGAATTATAACATATAAGGCCTCAGTAAGGCGTCAAAACGATTACATGGTGGACATGTGGAGAGCATTTCTAAATTTGAAGCATCAGTGACAAAGATTATGTCTGATGCAATTCCCTATTTTGACATGTACCATATGTTTCTGTGTTGTTCTCAGTTGTACAATTGACTTGCCTTTGCATGTGTTTGCCAAATGTGTCAAAATTAACAGCAAATGCTGGCTGAAGTTTACTGATAAAACAATATGCTGGACTTCCTCATTGCTATCATCAATGTAGAATATTGGGGAAAGGCAAGACGTTTAACGTATAAGCGGGGCGGTCGGGTAGCCTAGTGGTTAAAGCGTTCGCTCGTCACGCCGAAGACCCGGGTTCGATTCCCGACATGGGTACAATGTGTGAAGCCCATTTCTGGTGTCCCCCGCCGTGATATTGCTGGAATATTGCTAAAAGCGGCGTAAAACCATACTCACTCACTTTAACGTATAAGCTTCAGGTATATCGATGATCTGATATCGTTTTATACCCATCAAATAGCTCATTCCTATCCACTGATTTACCCATAGTTGAACTAGAAATAAAAGAGTCCGCCTCATCTGTTATATTTAGATTTATGCATATTTAACAATCTCCAAAAGTATGTATGACAAGTTGGATGACTTCAACTTTTCAATAGTCAGCTTTCCCTTTATTGTCGAGCAATATTTCTGCAGGTCTCTTAGGTACAATCGAGCATGCATTTTCTCCTAAAATTTCAAAGAGCGTCATACTTACTCTTACTCAGAAGTTGTTTGATCAAGGATATAACGTTCGAGGCATCAGTAAAGCTTTCAAAAGTTGTATAGTAGACATGTGGATGACATTTTCAAATTTGACAAAAAAGATGTCGGATGTTTATTCCTTCTTTTGGCTTGTACAATATGCTTCAGGTGAACGCCTTTCTTTTGCATTTGTTTGTGACGGGTGCCACCGGTGTGAACACTTGGTATTATCACTATTTTATAGTAATGCATAAACACATGTTCATGATATAGTTGGAATCATTCAATCGACTCTGCTTTTGGCAGAACATTCATATGATTATGGAAATGGCTTTGTTATATGTGATGGGTGTCACTAGTGGGACAGGATCAGTTTAACTTTTCGCGAATACCTGGTATCATCACGATTCCATAGTGATTTATAAACACATGGTTATTATATAATAGGAGTCATACAATGGACTCTGCTTTTGCAGAGCTGTTTTATGCTATAAGAAAGGCTAATATCGCATGAGCTGTATTTGAACAACATCCCCGTGCCTTGCCATGGCGGCTTAGTAGATGAAATTTCAAGCTGCATATCTTGTCAGGATTTTCCATTGATTAACTTGAATTGTTATGGGGTCTGCGAAGTGGTAATATGCCACAGAGTATCGCCTCAATAATGTTCAGGATTCCACGTACACAAAACCGTCAATCTGTCCCCACTACCTTCCCTAGGTACAGGATATCTCTGGTTTTTATGGTCATTTTATATTGCTTTTTATGATTATATGGTCCACCGCGCACTCTCTCATTTTATACTATTATCATATTAAATGAAAATGAAATTCCTTTGAGAGTCTGAGCAATGCAGTTTCATTATCGGATTACTTGCATGGAATCGCCTTCAGACGATCGGGAGGAGGGTCTGGTTTTCACAGCATCAAAAGAAATTTGTCTCACGTAATGCAATAGTCTTGTAGATGCCTATTTCACAACGTAATCTGGAACTGCCCGGTGAACATTACATGTACCTGAACATTACATCACTGCTTTGCACTCCGAAAGGACATGCTTAAAACGTTGTTTAAAGGTGTTCAGTAAACATTCATTGGTAACATAAGATATTACATAAGTGAAAGTTGGGGTAAGAACTTTATTTATTATCACAATTGATTTACCAATACAGGGCTTCATGTACTTATGATCATTAGTGACATTAAAGGACCCATTTAAGGAATTATTCAGGTAGACGTACCAGCTTGTTTGTTTCCTCTATATGAAGGCAAAACCTATCGTCTTTTACGTATACATGTACTTAATAACATTATACATAATTGTTTCACAGGCCTAATTTAATATTGCTTGGATTTATCCTACCGTTGTGTAATACATTTATATTTTGTCAGTGGAGAATCATATTTGTTTGTTTGTTCTTTAACGCCCTATAGGATCTGCTTCGGAAGATATTTGAGATTGATTATTATCTGACCTACGTTTTAAACATACGGAGGATTTACAGAGAGACTCTGTTGATCTGTAAAGGTTCCGTCACCAGCCTTCAAACGTGTGAAACATGACCCTATAAACAAATATCCAGAACCAAATATATACCACTTCTTCCAACAGCAACATGATAGTAATGCATTTTTGTTATATATTTTGCAAACATAACATTTCAAAAAGTAGTTATATCTTTCTTTATTCTCTCACAGGTTCCAACGGGTCTCCTGGCGTCATTGATAACGATACGCTGCATAATATTGTCCATAAAGGACAGTCACAAACTACAAACGTAAGCAAACATTTCATCATTGACATGTGAACATTTGACTTCATGTCCATGTAATTTCCTGTTTCCATGTTTTGTGCGTGATTTCACTGAGTGGATGTGTAAGATGGGGTTGGCGCCGCTTTGAACAGAATTTCAGTTATATCTGGGATTGTCCCCTAAAATTCTTGAAAAAAAGTAATTATGCTTCAGACTTGTAAAATAACAAAATTGCAAGAAAACATTTGCCTGTAACAAAACTTCCATTGTTGCAAGGTATTTTTCATTAAAACAAATCAGCCTTCTAAATTTAAATATTACAAAATTGATTTGTAGCCGCCTCCCTAAAAGTGAGAGTAATAACAGATGCAGTACATATGATTATGATTATTGTGAAGACGCTATTATTAGGTGTTTGTTATTTTGCAGACTACCATGTCCAGTTTAACCGAAAACGCCCCAATCCAGCGAGAATCTGATTGGAGGGTTCTTCAGATAGCACTTCCGGTAGGCTTCTTCCTGTTCTTGTTCCTCGTCTTGCTCTTGGTCTTCATGCGCAGATGGCGCCACAGCAGAAGCTCTAAACGAGGCTCGGAAAGTGTTGTGAAGAACAGTGACAATGTCCAACTTTTAGAACGCATGAACATCATAAGTAAAAACCCAACATACTTCACATCATTGCACGATGGAGTAGAAGGGAAAGAACTATACGTTAGAGAAATCCCACTGGAACATCTCAAGTTGGTAGAGGTAGTTGGAGAGGGAGCATTTGGACAGGTTTTTAAAGGTAAGCAATCTCCAATTTTGAAAAAATATATGCAATCATTTAATCAAATATATCTACAAAAAATATATACCAATATCACATCTCAAGGATTTCCACATTTCAATGCAAAAATGGTTGCCGTTGAGGCCTTATGTTGTTTATTTTTTGTATTAGTTATCAGTTATACAGCCCAACAAAATTACATAACGTGTTATTGTCCAATCGATTTCAAGTCATTTGTGTTTTGTATGTACTGTGAAACCTGATTTACTTGAATTTATATCTCGATATGTCGTAAAAGATTATGTCACATTACTGTCACAACATAATGCATATAGTCTATTAATATCAACACTCCGCTTGTCTCGAACTGTTCCAAGTAACTCCGGGTTAACGATGTTAAATGCACATACATCCAGACACCAAAGAACCTCACCAACGTGGTTATGTACAACAGGTAACCTCTTTAATACGGAAACCAACTGTGAAACAAAGGTTGCGGTGAAGGTCCTGAAAGACGGCGTGTGCAGTGAAATCAGGGCGGATTTTGAAAGAGAGGTTGAGATTATGAGCGCCTTCGACCATGACAACATACTCCGCCTTGTCGGCGTTGTAACCCAAAGTAAGTCATTGGAAAATATAATCTGAAGGCTATTAGGTATTCAAATATATAGAGAATCTCACCCCTCGTGTCTTTTGATATCAAATACATCAACACGAGTTGATGAAAGTTGAAAATAACTCCGAGGCTTGCCGAGGACTTTTTCCACTTTTATCAACGAATGTTGATATATTTGATGTCACAAGACACGGGGGTGAGATTTTATTTATCATCCAACATCACTCTTCCATCCATTTCAGTTTGTAGACAGTGTCTTAAGTGTAAAAAGTATTGCTATCAGCTTCAGTAGCAGAGCCATTAGTGATGTCATTGGTTACCAAGACGTCACAATGGTCTGCAAAGCATTGTGATGCAATTTCATTGCCGCGATATCTACAATGTAGATATCGCTTGATCTCACAAATCGATATCTCCTGTGGAAGCCAGTTTGGGATGATAAATATGAAATATTTTCAAAGGCAACAGTAGCTGTGATCATCGAAATGTAACGGAAGCCAAACATATATTTGAAACTTTTCACAACAGACCACTTGCCTAGACTTGAAAAGTAGATCGATGTCGTTGTAATGCTTATGTACAAAAATGAAAATGACAAATGTAAAAAATAACGGGTTTTTTCCTTTCTTTCACAATCTGTAAGTACATGTATATTTGTTCTGAGGAATTAAAGGGACCAGATATCTCGCCATAACTCACCATAAACAACAACCACATTTCAAGGGTGAATGTAATCGGTTTTTTGATTTTACAAACAAACTTTCGTAAAGTCAGATTTAACACGGGTGCAGTTTACATCTATATTGAAAACAGAGGAGTTTAGATGTCTATTTATGTACTTTTTGAAACAGGAAAATGTGATAAGAAGATATCAGTGACTTTTGCCTATACGTATTTTGTCAAACAGTACAAATACAAACTGGTAAGCATTTTAAGCATTATTGTGTGCAATAATTTTATAGGCTGGTGAGGTGAGGTGAAATGGAGTTTAACGTCGCTTTCACGATTATTGCACGTGTGCGTGCGCGTGCGTGTGTGTGGCTGCTTGTACTAGGCCAAACTGATGCCGATTTTATAGTGCTAGTCCACTGAGGTACCATGCAGTTTGACATTAATACGCCACTCAGTCAGAGTATAGTGACTCCGAGCCGACCACTCGTTAATGCCGAGCGCCAGGCAGGGTAACAACAAGTATCATCTTTTAACATCTTTTGATATGAAGGCATCGAACCCATGACCTTCAATTCCGCTCTCCGGGCAGACGCTCTATTCACTAGACAACGGAGGCTGTCCCATTTGATAGGCATATATAATGAAACGAAATGAAATATCGCAACCTTGGTGGCAATGTTTTAAACAGTAAAGAAGACTGCGTGCACTTCATGTTGCCCCGTGGATCAATACATAGCGTTAGCAGGCTGAGAAGCTTTGGGTTACAGCTGTTGGAATTGAGCAAAAAAGTATTTTCTATGCGTTACCCGGTGTTTCAAAACTGAGTCTTTGTACACATAAATCAGAAAGAATATGTTTTTAGAACAGGCACCTTAAACGTCCAAATGAAAACAGCAAATTCAAAGTGAGAAAATAACACATCATGTTGAATAAAAGATCCATTAGTATGTATTGCCACCCACAAGACAAACAACCAAAGGCAACTCCCGTGTCAATATATCTGTTTAAAAAGCCGCTTTGAACACCTTAAACATCTGTAGAGTGTAAATGACAAAATAAGTTGAAAATAGATATGAACACTTTTTGCCAATTACATCTGGTAGGGATCAGTGACAAAGTAGGAAATGACATTATCTCAAAATAGGAAAAGATCTCGGCCTCAACACTACCTCACGCAAGTGTTATTACTGGAGGTAGCAGGCGCCAGTGAGCTTAATTCTTGTATTACATTTCTGACCGAGGGAATTGAGGTCACATTGGCTTTAGATCTTTGGTAAGAATATATGCATACAGTTGTGACTCTGAGAGTCTGTGAGAAAATTGATTGCCAAACTCTCAAAGCCCTTTTAACACGTACATGTTTATTGCACGGATGTTTTCAAAGAACAAATAATGGCATGCTTACAGGTATAGGAACAAATACGGTAAATTCATGAACATACTTGTGCGACAGCATACGCTCGACTTTCTGGCAAACACGCTCACAGATGTTGTATATTACAAATCGATACATTTTACGAAAGTGCATCCTCTTAAGGTGCGCTAGTGAATATTAATAAAAGGCGCTACATTTTGATGTGTAGAGTCGCGTCCCTTAGGTGTGCCAGAATCATCTGATCTTTGGTTCGAATACCAAATGCGCCCTGATTACGATTATTGGTCTGTGAAGGCAGAAGGGTAGTAAACGTCAAACACCTTCATAACTTTAGGCTTTATTCACTCCGCTGACCCTCACTGACATAACTAAAATAGTATTCAAAGCTACGTTAAACCACACAGTCATTAGTGTTAGTCGCCACAACATCCATTTCACAGCTTTTCCGAATGGTTAGAGCTGGAAAGGAATCAGTCACGAGGATTAAAATATATGTGAATAGTACCAAGAATAAAAATGTCGACGACTTAAAATAAACAAATATAAAATCCAATAGATTCAACTCAACAAATTAAAAATGGAACCAGGTATTATTGTAACGGGTAAGCATTTCCTGGCCGATACCCGTATATGTAGCACGCGTAATGTCATATGAATTGAAAATCTTGTTTTTTCAGACGTGGGCCAAAGTCCATATATGGTGTTTGAGTATATGGAATATGGAGACCTGGCCGAACTCCTCCGAAAGAATGACCCTATTCTGAGAAAAACTGACGACTGTGTTGTACTGCAAAAGGTATGACTACAATTAACCCTCTATAATGAAACCACTATAACTAAACATCTGAAATTAAACCTCTATAATTCAACTTCTGAAATTAAACCTCTATAATTAAACCTCTCTAACGTACATCAGTTGCCGTGAAGAAAAGCATCAAACAATGTAACGTGTTAGCGTGCGGAAGTTTGTTTTGTTAAACTTGTTTTTGTTACAATTACTCCTTGCAAATTCCATGATTGACGTTTACAGATTTAGAATAACACGACAAATTTCTTTGATCCCAACAGGTTCATTAAACCAGTAATTAACACATGTGTTGATGCAGAAAATCTGTAAATGAAAGGCGGCTTAAATGTTGCATCGTTTCACGCAAAAGACTTGTTGTAGAGTTGAATGGTACTGATTGCAGCTTTCTTGCTGCCTTTGTAGTACGTAATGTTACCATAAAGGTTGATGGCTATATGGAAATCAAAGACTTAAACGAAGAATCTTGATCGAAAGTGGGATAGATTTCCTTATTACAGTAAAGATAAAACTAATTCTTACTGGCTATAATCGTAATCAGTATCTGTTAATAACAACCCAATCTGCACCTTTTCTCGGAACTTGATCATATAATAACACAGGTTGGAGTCATATATAAACAAAAGTCATTATCTCCCGCACTATTAGGTACCGCTAAATTCCTTATCTTGCTGAAGAAACGCGACTTTTGCATAAAACAGGAAGCATGTGTCGCCATCTGGCGGCAATTTTAGACCGGAAGTGATCGATATTTCTCACCATATTTGGTACTTGTTGAGGCAGAGAATGGATTGATGTTGAAGCCTCCTCGAGAAAACAACAGAGAAGCCATGATATGCCGGAACAATCCAAGTGGAAAATGCTGTCTTGTGGAAAATTTTGGAACCTAAATCGATAAGACCAAGGAAACCCTTATCCAGTGTTTTATTTGTGTTTTCACGTGATGAAAAAAACCACAATTTCATTTACAAAGTAGCTACTGTATTATTTAAATAGGGAAATTTTATTTCGAATATTATTTTTTTTTAAACAGGGAGAGTTGTGAAAAGATCTGATAACCAGATCATCGTTTTTCTTTAAGATTTCTAACTGGTAAAACTGGTGTTGTTTTTGTTTGCAGTAAGATTTTCTCTTTTGAAAGTAGCTATGTTCGTGCTTTGTTCATATAATTGTAACAACGATTTTCTCTGAAGTTGATTATCGAGCTGTTTTAGAAACATAGATAACTTTTCTTGTATGTGTTCTGAAATTGCCAAAGATATAGTATTTACATTGTTGTCCTTTATTTATGACATGGTGTATACTTGTTGTTTGCTCATTAATCATATTGATTCAAACAGGGAGTTTCAGATACCTTAGACGTGATTTGATCTATTTCAGAATGACTTGGTCGACATATCGACCCAGATCGCAAATGGAATGGCCTACCTGACCTCTCAGCACTTTGTTCACAGAGACCTAGCAACAAGAAACTGTCTTGTAGGCGAAGGCCTTGTGGTCAAAATTTCAGACTTTGGAATGTCTCGTGATATATACACATGCGACTATTACAAAGTAAGTCATAAATATACATTATTATGATTAACAAATCATATTCATCATTTTCATTTGCATTGTATTGTACATTTACGAATATTATTGGTATTTGTTCAGGTGATACCACACGATTCCTGGTCGTTCGCGAAATTGCCAAAATTATTGCATCGTGTAAAAGCACTCTGTGACTTGCCTGTCATATTGTCCCAATTTCGTGGATAGTTGCTCATGTGTTCACGCATTGGTGTGATTGGTCGAGGCAGAGGACATGTTGCTGAAATTGTTTTGATACAATTATATGTAATTCTTCCACCGCTTATTTCCGATTCCAATGGTCTCAGCATTATTCCAGCTGGTTATGCATACAACGGATGATTACGACATGGTGCAACATATTTCATAATAATTATACAAGATATACTGGAGATACATTGGTATGCTGGAGAATGTTTGTAAATCGACAAATGTCTATGGCGTTAAAATATTTCTAATTAAAGTTCTTTTCTCAAAGAAATCCAAATGATAATGGCAATTTGTTGAATCTTGCCCACCTATAGTAAAAATTCCTTGACCTTCTTCATTGAAAATCGCGTAAGCAGACTGAGTGTGTTTAACGCTGATTTCAACAGTATTTACTCATCATCTTCATATTTCAAAAGGCTAACAGCGCCTCAAGTAGCTGACGTGCCCCAATGTGGCCAGTCCACGAGTAAGTGTTAAACACCGCGGTGATATAAATTTCTTAACCTTTTATGGTTTTATACAATGGAGAAAAGCCAAATTTAACCTTTACAACAATGATGAAACACACGAGCGTCTGATGCTGAAACAAGGATAATAAATGTTGGAATAAAACCCATTATAAGCGGAGCTTGACGGAGGTTGCAACTAAAGCACGTTAATAACTGTCATTAATTAGATCTCATTTTATATATATATATATATATATATATATATATATATATATATATATATATATCATATAATGGGTAGGTTTCTCGGCAGGATAACTCCAACGGATAAAAACGATATCCGCTGGGGTCATATGCGGATAGAGATGCAACTATCAAAGGTCAAGTAGGGACTACTTTCAGCGTTTATAAACAAACATGGCGTCCCCCTTGTCATTCGGCGATCGAGTCGGAATTAACCATCGGGAATCTGGATAAACTACAGGGATAATTCTATCATTATCAAAAGAACAGTCTAATATACTGAAAATCAGAGTCTAACTGTGACGTAGCTAAGGCATTTTATAAGTTTTGGCAACTTTGGAGATATAAATTTCGAAACAATTTTGCGAGGGCACTTGGCCTAGCCAAGCGGGATCAGTAGTCATATATGTGCTTGAAATCTTTTCCACAAATTAAAATAGTTGGATTTGGCCGAAATATGTTTGAATTGTTACCTTGTTTCGTTTCGTCGCTGCACTTAACGTAATGACAGGACAGACCGACTGTCAACAACGTCTGAACGTGTCCGTGACGTCTCATAGACTAAGGTTAGAGTAGCTTCCCTTTGACAAAGGGCAGCTACTCTAGCGGACAGACCGATGGATTGCCGCGAAAGGCAAGTAAAAACAATTGTTGTTTTGGGTATATGTTGCTTCGCCACTGTATAAGAAACATATTTTAGTTGGAACTATATTGGCTACTGTCACTGTCCGACTGACACATCACTTACCCTGTGGGTAATGTTTGTGAGTGAGGGGAAGCGATTCTCAAGCACAGAATTGAAGAATGACATTATATGATAAAGAGGTTATCACGCTTGTGTGTTAAGGGATGGTAAATATCTTGTATTAGGAATAAACACTGTGTATTTAGCTCGCCAAGGTTCGCTAAATACAATGTTTATTCCTAATGCGGGATATTTACCATCTCCAAACACACTTGCGTGATAAACCCCCCCCCCCCCCCCCCCCCCAACCCCCAACCCTCTCTCTCTCTCTCTCTCTCTCTCTCTCTCTCTCTCTCTCTCTCTCTCTCTCGATGTTATTTGGTTATTTTCTCACACATTAAAGCCAACAGTTGGTCACAGCCAACGTTTCAGACACTTCACCGTATGTTGTTCGTGTAGCGTGTCATATGGACAGGCCCTTCTCCTTCATTTCTAATTCGCGTTGCCTCTGGTTCCAGATCGGCGGCAGCAGGATGCTTCCAGTGCGGTGGATGTCTCCCGAGAGTGTTAAGTATGGCCGCTTTACCAGTGAGTCGGACGTATGGGCTTATGGTGTTGTATTATGGGAGATATTCAGCTGCGGTCGACAACCTTACTACGGACATTCTAACGAAGAGGTGAGTCATGCAGGAAATTCAGTGCTTTAATATATTTTGTGTTTATGCGTTGTGAGAAGCTCCTGAAAAAACCAAACGGCTGGTTCACGATTGGTACATGTTTTCTTGGTCATGCAGTTCTTTTGAGGACATTGTCCATGAAGTTCTTATATTCCTATGACACCATTGTTATCATTATGTGTTAGTGAGTGCGTTACGCCGCTTTTAGCAATATTCCAGCACTATTCCAGTAATACCACGGTGGGGGACACCTGAAATGGGCTTCACATATTGTACTCATTAAGCTCATTAAGGGAATGGAACCCGGTGCTTCCGTGTGACGAGCGAACGCTTTAACCACTATGCTACCCCACCACCCCTGTAATTATCTGCGCTGTTGTTTCCATTGAGACCATATGAAGCAGATGTTTGGTAGCCGTATGCAGGACATATTAAAGTAACTATCTCTGACACCCACACAACTCTTGACGCGAGTTTTTGAGGGGGGCCTCTGAGAGGAAAATTAAATGTGATTTATCGTGCAGTATATTTTATAGCTTATGCCGTGACTGTCTGTGATACTAACACGAAGAGGGTCTGAGGAGGATTCCAAACTTCACCCCTTCCCTCCGTAATTTGTCATCCTTATAATCCTTCTTTATGATGAATAAATAAAAGAATTGGTTTTCGTGGAGTAAGAACATCAATTCGAAAGAATTGTAAGATAATGCTAAAATTTCATTTACCAATAATATCAAGATTTGTACACTCAGCAGAAGATACAATACATTTTGTTTTAATTTGTGGCTATTACTATGCCACTCGGATAATGAAATATGAAAAAAATGATGGCACCAAAACAGCAGACGTTAGCCAAGCTACAGTGATCGTGGGTTTTGTCATAGACTTGTCCCAACAAAGATCCCTTGCTTACCAGCACCGCGACCGTGAAGGTTGGGTTTACCAAGGCATTATCACTTTGGGCCTCTCCAAACGGTGATCTGGATCCCCGTGAAATAACTGTAACACATTGTTCAAAACGACGTTACAAGAGATCCCTGTTTTTTTTTATTTGCTGGAACATGCTTATGATATATCAGAGGTGAGGTGAGGTGAAATGGGGTTTAACGTCGCGTCCAAGCTTAAGATTATTGCACTTATATAGCGACGTGCATGTACGTGTGTGTGTTTGTGTGGCTGCTTGTACTAGTCCGGACTGATGCCGATTTATAGTGCTAGCACACTAAGATACCACGCCGCAGTTTAACATGAATACCCCACTCAGACACAGTATACTGACTCCGAGTCGACCAGTCCTTGTTTTAGCCCCTTAATGCCGAGCGCCAGACAGGGTAACAACAAGTACCATCTTTTAACGTCTTTTGGTATGACGCGGTTGGGGATCGAACCCCGGACCTTCCGCTCTCCGGGCGGACGCTCTATCACTAGACCACGGAGGCGGTCTTATGAAATATCAGAAAGGACCTTGACTTTTGTGTATTTATATTTGTGTATGTATATTGTCTTGCAGTCACAGTCATGATGAATTTACATTCTTGAAGGTTCCAAAAACATTTTCATTTCAGGTTATTCGTTTTTTGGATGAAAAGATCTACTTGCAGCGCCCTGAAGATTGCCCGACTGCAATACACAACATTATGGCAGGCAGTTGGAAACAGGAGCCAAAGGAAAGATTTACCTTTGAAAAAATACACAGTTTATTAGTGGAATATAATAAGAAAGTTGTTCTGAACGTGGAAGAAGAAAAGTCGGTAGATTCTGCTTCTATCGCTGAAGTAATGGCGTAAGATCCACTCTTATTTTGCTTGCTTTGGAGGTTCATAGAATAGCATGCATATCAAGACTGAGAAATGGCAGTAAGATTTATGAGAGTTGTCTTCTCTTGGCAGTAAGATGTATGAGAGTTGTCTTCTCTTGGTACATTCATTGTCCCATGTTTAGATAAAATTGACCTTTTGGTATTTTTGTCAGATGTGATGTTTCTTTATGGCAAAATGACTGTTGTGTTGTAGAATGACATAACCATCCATGCCTGTGTATGATCTTATATAGTACATGTATACAATACGGGAAATGAAAACAAAAAATAATAATGCTTTTTTATCGTTGTAGGCCGATATGGCAGTTATTCCACAGAGCAATGCCTTTTGACAGTAAAATGATCCATTAAGCAATCAATTATTACACATATTTAGTCTTCCCAGTATGAATTGTATCAAACAATTACCAAAGCTATTTTGGTCATGCACGCGATTTACAAAGGTGCATCCTTGCATAATTGTTTATGGCTTTGACGTTTGAAGTTTGGAAATGTCATATATGTATAGTCCATACACATTGTTTGAAAGAGCTTTTTATTAAACCATGTGCCAAAATTACACTGATATTAGTTTTTGATGTGACAAATCCTAAATAGGTTTGCGATGATGTGTGTTATATGATATAATGCTTGATTTGAGTATTGATGAGTCGCGTGCAATTTGGTGTTATTGATGCTTTGAGAAGTTAACGCCTAGCCAGTCTTTGCCATGTTTCGTGTGATATCAATTAATCGTATAATTAGTGAAGCATGTACAAAGGGGAATATTATCCTTTTTGCCAATTTTCATTGCTGTTTTTCTCTGACAATTGTGCGAATTGCTTTTCAGTGGTCATTTGTCTGTCAACTTCTATGATGCACCAACAAAATGTTTTTAACATGTGACAATTGAGGAACAGTTCAAATCACATTTACGTGCTCATTACGCCAGGGAGCGACCATTTGATTTCGAAGGGGTGGGGGTGGGATTAAGGTTGAATTCAGCATTGTTTTCTTAATGTTGAGGGGCTCAATTATATTTTCAAACAAACAGGTTCTCATTTATTTATTTTTAAATAAATTAAAACAAGAATCAAACTGTATTTCGTAGATGTTTATTTTATTCTCTTCGGCAAGTTCCTCTCAACGCCCAGTGACCTCAAATTCCGCTAACAGACGTATTTGAAGGTGCCCTTTTGCTGGAGTGAGGACAGTCTGCCCATCCACTTGTTGAACTCAGCATCTGTGATAGTTGAGCCGTTGGAATTTGATGGGATCGCTGTAGGATGTTCGACGCCTTGGTCCATCACATATATCTCGTCTTTGTTGACTGTGAAGACAATTGCAAACAGGATAGGACGAGCCGTCCAACTGTACAGTGCCTTTCATGTCAGTTTGGAGTGACTAGATCATACTGAGGAGCCTTGTTAGGTCGATGAATGTGACATAGATTTATTGCTACTGGTCTTTGCACTTTTTCAGCGACCCTCAGATTGAGAGGATCGTGTTGGTCGTGGATCGTTCTGCCTTGAATCCACACTGCGATACGAGATACACCCAATCAAGCAAGTTTCTATAGTCTGTTCAAGGACCATACTATCCTCCGATACTCAGTGAGGAAATTCAGAGAGAGTTGTAACAAACGCTTCTATCACCCTTGTTATTGTAGAAGGTGACGATGTTGAAGTCTCTCATGACTTGGAGCATCACTCCCTTTCCGAACTCTAACACAGTAGTTCAAACATGTGGCTTAGCAGGAACCCCAAATGACGGCTTCAGAAGGGATCCTATTACTGGCAGGCGCTAAATGGCTTCCAATGCAGAATAAGGGATGCTGCTTTCCCTGGAGTAGAGCTGAGTAGTGCTCAACCCGTTGGACCGATTTCTTACTTGATGCGTCTTACACACCTTGGATTATCCACCTTCAGTTGATGATTGAATGCCCTCGCAGAGCTGCAGAAAGTAGTCGTTCACGCATATTATTGCTGTTTTCTGATATTTTCTTCAGTGTTTTCATATAGCTTGCATATTTTCCTGCTTGGTACAGGGATAGGTGCGGATCTTTTCTCGACGACAAGGAAATCAGTGCTGCACAGGTAGTGGTATGTGCATAGCTCCAGAAGTCGCCATTCATCCCGCCATTAGTTGATAAAAAAGGTAAAGGCAAAAGCCAATAGTGCTTGGTATCAGAGGCGTCGGAAGAGTGATTTTGAGTGAGTTATAACACGGCGGGGAACTCCAGAAATGGGCTTCACATATTGTACCCATGTCGGGATTCGAACTCAGGTCTTCGGCGTGACGATCGAACGCTTTAACCACTAGGCTACCCGACCGTCCTGCGTGTTAAGTGCAGCCTGAAGACAACAGCATACTGCCATAGGAGCTCCGATTTACCTCAGCCGCAAGGAGACAGCTTAGTAAAAGAAGTTGTGAATTAAAATTTCCCTTCAAATGCACACTTTCTGCAAGAAAAGGGTACATTTTTTCTATAATTCGAGAAGAATGTAATTTTGTTACAGTGAAAAAGGGCTTGATTATTTTTGTAGAAAAATATCCCGGCCTCATCCCTGAAAATCAAATGGTTGCTCCCTTAACGCATTCGGTAATGATTTTCATACAGATTCCAAGACAGGGCCCACAGGTTACTATAAACCCTTACATTTTCTATCAAGTTAGTGTGGCAAACGTTTTGATATGGTTTTCAAGTAACATTGACAACTGTCATGTACAATTTATATGCAATGAAAGTGTGTTATTTCCAACGTATTCATGATAGGAAAAGAAGAAAAGCAAAAGTAGCAAAGTCTACTTCCGCTGCGTTTCTGGCGACTTTTTCCTCCATTGAAATTCACAGAGGAATGGACTAACGCATGTAGACTGATGGCATTATTAAAAGAACTATCACATTACAATATATATTATGTGTAGAGATAGCTCATTCATAATACTCGCTCTCTTGAGTCAAGTAAGATAACGTTTATTTATGAGTTTCTGTCAACATTAGCTAAATAAAAAGTTTCGTCTTTGATGAATATGATTATGAAGTCCCATGTATGGTTTAGCGCCTTTTGGAGTAGGTATAAATATGTCTTTGTGAACAATATTTAGATTTGTATATATTAAACGAATGTAGTATGTTATTCTTTTATGATCGAAATAACTCAGCTTCCCAATTTTGTTTCAGTTGCTAATCATGCATGTTTGTTTCAGCACCTTGCCATATTGTTGGTTGACTGTATTTTAACAAAAACTGGCCTCCAAACAACATTAGTGAACAAACAAAAACAGTTACCACCTTTCACTTGTTTAATTACGTCACCAATATGTCACTTGACATTAGTATGACGTTGTAGCAACGGATGCCGTTGCAAGGAATGCATTCTGCATCAACTTTGCAGATGAGTTGAACTGTTTGTGATTTGTTTGAAAAATTAAGTTTGAAATGCATAGAATGCAATAAAATACTTTCTATATGATATATTATAACATTCTTTCTTCTCATCTTTCTCATCATTCAAACAAAAACCATTTTCGCAACAATTTTCCTTTGGTTTTATGGCAAATGTCAGCATATATATAATGTTGGAGTAATGTACATAGTCTTTTAGCCTACGAAATGTGCCATAATAGTTTTCTTTTCGTATATCACGTGCTACTACTCTAATATATCTCACCATCATGCATTGTCCGTTTGTGACATTTCCCATACTTTATATTGCCAAAGTCTTTAACTTGTTTTCAGAAGCCTGCTCTTGAAACTTAGAAAGATTCTTTTGCGGATGTATTAATGCACAGATGTGAACCGAAAACGGTGTAAAACTATTTAGCTTGTGTCGTTCTCAACTTGCCTCATTTGGCTCCGAGAGCAGCAAAGAGAATCTTTCGTCATAACTATATTTTCATTTCAGTCCTTGCGTAAATATTTCCTAAAATTGGTGATTCTTCAAGTTTGTATGTGTGTATAAATATGATAATGTCGATTTTTCGGGTAATGACAATACTAAGTGTGGAGGTTTTTAATTATAATTATATATGTATTTGTCTTACCCAAAGATATGTTCGATATCATTGGTCAATACACTGTTACAAACAATACACAAGAACATAAGCGCAACATAAATAGTCGTCCTTCCAAACCGTCATCGCTGAGGGAAATAAAGGTGTCCCGTTAATGAGTGGTCATGTTAACGTGCGACGCTTGCATGCAATAAAGAACATATTTCTTGATCATATGTGATTGTGTGTTAATTACTTCAGCATCATTTTCTAAACGATGTTAGCGAATGTACAGAAATGTCATTTATATTACATTTACACTCAATCAGCTGTTTTAATGAAGAATAATGTTTCCTTACCGTTCTATATCCAGTAATAAGATCGATATTTCATTTTCACGAGAGGACATTTTTGATGTTAGAAATATATTTCATGTACATTTTGTATATATGTTCTGTATATATATGTGTATATATAATATTTATGTTGTAATGTGTTCCGTGCCATATCACACTGTTAGTATTACACTGTCATATTTGTATACAATTCTCAAAGGTAATCACGATTTGAATTATGTGCCCAGACGATTTGAGAGGCGTTACCCATTGCTTTTACGAGTAAATGAGAGCGATAAAATATATTTCCATAATCATAAGAAACGTCTACTAAAAGCGGAGTCCCTTACACGATTTCTACGATATCATAAGAATTTGTTCATGACTCACTATCACATAGTGACGATACCAGCTGTAAGCGAAAAGGTGAGCGTATCCTGCCCCAGAGGTGACGCCTGGCAAGGCAAGTCAATTCTCCACCTGAAAAAAACACGGGCACATCTCGTACAAGCGAAAATAGGGAGTTGCATCGGATATAATTTGTGTCAGTGATGTATCCTATTTGGAAGTGTCCTCCACAAAACGTTTTGAAAGCATTACAGAGGCCTTGAATGTTGCTAACCTGATCAAACAAGAGTCGCTACTTCACAAGTTTACCTATGTTTTACATTATATTGCCATGATAACAAGTAAATGGAATAAGACATCTAAATGGCGATGGCGCAACAGTTCTCTGTTAATAAAACAAATGAAAGTCACTCATGTAGTGAATGTGTACAGTTGTTATCAGATTCTACATACATTCGTATACACAATTGTGAATGTTGTTAGTCCATGAAGGTCACAGTACCGTTTTATAACCAATTCCAGTAATAACTCATCTTGCCATTTACATTGTCCAATGCTCAAATGAAACATAAACTATTTTCTGACAATTATAACTGAAACTAAATATGTTGATAGTATGTTCTGAATGCCAAAATATAACTACATTGATATATAAGAAGTCATTCATATTAAGTATATTGACATATTTCATGTCCGCAAATGCATTTCATATCTGAATATTAATGGAGCGTTCGGGAAATTTTGTATTATTTTTCATTCTCCAGTGCAATATTAAGGGAATAAAATAAATACATTTAATTTTTGGAAATATGCCTTTTCATGAGTATGACTAAAGAAATATAATGCCGTTTCCGAACATGTCAACTTTGCCTGACTGTATTCAATGTACGACGTTTCAGTTTTAGCTGTCGGATGTTCGTATGCTGTCGATAGGCCGAATGGCCCAGTGTGTTTGCTTGACGTTAACTATTGCTAAGTTGGTTTTGCCAACTACACATACAGGCTCATCATGGTATTAACTCCTGCAGATGCATGGTAAGTTTAAAAGCATATGGTTAAATTCGGGGTAAAAATTGTATCATTTCTGCTGGAAGTCAAGGATACCGAAGGTCACTTCTTGACCACTTTCTCGAGACTACCAGGTACTTTTCAATTAGTACGACATGCATGTTAAAGGATGATTCAACACCTGGTTTCATTCATTTCCAATGTTTAGAACATTACGAACATCGTATCAAGGCAATTAAATCATAAACGTATATTTCAGTGGGTTTTTTAAATTATATGTTGTATGTTTGCATACAATGTCTTTAAGTAGTCTTTCTCAATCTAGGCATAGCACAGATTCACACTTATCCTTCCTGACTTTAATGACGTTTCAGACATGTTCCCTTCCTCAGCTAATAATAATGTCAGTTTCATTATATACGTTTAACTAAACTAAACTTTTATTGGTCAATTTACTTACTTTTCAGGGCTACTTCTTGTCCCTTTCGCTCGATGAAGGGCCAAGAAAAAGCCTTGAAACTTCAGGACAAAGAATAATCCATTAACAAAGTTGTGATCCATAAACGTTTTAGGGTTTCGTGCTCTTCCGTCTTTTAATGGCAATCAAAAGCAAGAGGGTAAAGTGTCCAAATTTAGAATTGAAAGGACGAAGAACAATGTTTCGTATTTTCTGCATTTAATGCATCTCTTTAACTCAATAGTTCTTGTTGAATTAACTTGTTACTTCAGAATGTTATGAAACTGTGTATATGTATATAAATGAAACCAGATTAGTCACAATGTCGTATTGTATGCTGTCTGTGCTCATAAATCTTCGGCGACTTCCCAAAGTCTCACTCAAGCTGTAATATATACATGTGTCCAATAAATACATTATTATCAATAATCGTGGTCTTTCATAGTTATATGCCCTACCAGTCCTGATCGCCGTGTAATTTTATTTAGTTGTCTTCGTTGTCTCCTAGACGAATCTACAGCAGGCATCCAATACACAAATAATGTTTTCTTCATTCATATCTTATTAAATGTGTATTTCCCAAATACTTTACCTTACAGAATAAGCTAGCCATCTCTGTTTGTACTTAGTCCATGTTCAAAGAAAAGAAAGATAGGTTTTTTTATTCATTATCCGTGTAGAGTAACCTAATGTCATGTTTAAAAGAACGATACATAATTATTATTATTATTATTATTATTATTATTATTATTATTATTATTATTGTTGTCAATATTGTAACGATTTTAAAGCATTATAGGCACGTATTTTTAGACATATGGCAGCAGTTTTATTTGAGGCTAGATATCTATTTCAGCTACAGCTGCAATACCGGATATTGTTGTTGTTTTTAAATTAGAACTGTGAGCCACATTATGTGTTTCTGAAAAACACCTTGCACAAATATCATATTTGTGGCAGACACTTTCTTTTGGTCGGCTCCTTATGACTTATAAATATGATAACATTCAATTCAGCATCACATCATGATACACCTGAACACATGACTGAAGACAGTACATAAATATACATTCGGACATGATGTCCCTGCACGGCCTTAAACAAGTAGTATTTGCCAGAGGGATGCGTATATGCCATTGCACTCTACGACCTAGTTGGTATCATTTCACCTATATCACCAAGAACACAAGGACGAGACTTCACATGTTGTAGCCACGTGGGAATTCGAACACGTATCTTCGGCGTGAAGAACGAACTACTAACCCAAAGCACGGCGCAAGACTTTCCAATACTCTACACGAGGCGCTTTACAATACCGTGCGTATGTGTAAAAACATTCAGCCACAAAAGGAAATTATTACGTCGAGTTTCAATGCGTATGATAATGAATACACGAGAGGCAATTGACTTTTCTGAACTTACAGAATGTCAAGTCCTGCATCCTTGGCAGAGCAAAGGAGCTGTGAACACAGAAGCTGATTAAGATTGATTATACTGTCCGCGATCCCAGGAGAACCACATTTGAGTGATAATTCTTCTTGACACATATCGGCGTGCTTTCGGGATTGGGAACTCACCTAATTAAAGGACCACCAGTGAAATCATGGTCCGATAGTCTAAATATTGGTCTTGGTTGTTCATGGTGTTATTTCATGAGAAATTCAAAGGTTCCAACCTGTCTCATAACAGGAAATCATATTTGCGATGTGAGATGTTAGCCTTATGTTGGTTGGTGTGAAAATTAACACTAACAATCTATCCTTATGCCCGCTCTGTGCGTATGATATGAAACTGAGAATACTCTAAATACCGCCTACTTTAGGTTTCAGATTCGAAATATTTCGAAGTCATGATCAGTTTCAAACAAATTCCGGAATATGCCGCAAGACACTGTGAGTAAGATAGGATCACTTTAAACAAGATTTGTGGACAAAGATTGTTTTTTCATCATTCCGTTTCAATCCGTTTTATCAACGCCCAAGGGGTATTGTCTGGGTTTACAAAAGAAGCACAACTCCTACTCAAGGAAACACCATGATTAATCAGTTCCGGACAGACGACACAGAGGTCATGACCTTGATATGAAACTCGATGAATCAAAATGGCGGCCGACGTCCCATCTCGTCTGCCATACTCCCTCGAGAAGCAAGTGACAGGAGATCCCCGTGTTGAAAGATGAGAATTGATTGGTCTCGAGTTGCACAAACCGGAATAATGAATGCTCCCTGCGTGTCATGCCAAGGGGAGGAAGGATTCAATTAAAGGGAAATAACTCCCTGTCAGAGAAAAACTCCCAATTTGCCTGCAAGCATAGAATGCTGTAACTTCTCAGCCCTCCATCGGATACGTCCGTAATCTTTGATTTTAGTGATTGAATTAATGGTTGAGAATCAAGAAGGAAGGATAGGTCTACAGTCCGTCCTAATTGCTTCCTCTACCCCCAATTTGATACCAAATATCTCCGCAATTTTCTCTGACTCCGCGCCTGGGCTCAGCAATGATGATTACTGTTTATGGATCTCCTATTGCATAGGTTCTTCGGGTTAAAATATCTATGCACGTACAAATTGTAGGTCTCCATTTAGTGAAGTTCCTGTTTTAGGTTTGCATTAAGAGTCTTAGTCGCCAGAGTTAGTGATGCAATTGATGGTACGAGTTACAAATGCCCTCATTTCTCATTCCTAGTTCAGGGATTGACACTCCAACCATTTTGCAAAGCATAACATATCTATGGTGGGAGTTTACATCATTATTTTAGATTAAAAACAATGTGTCGGTGTCTTTGGTTATAAACAACATATGTTATCGATATCAATCAAGACTGTTTTGAATATGAAACGTACCAATGTTTTGAACTCTCTAAATTCAATAAAGTCGGAACTTTGTTCCCGTGTCTTTTCAGGTGAACAATTGACTTGCCTTTGCATGTGTTTGTGATTGTGCCACCGGTGGGGCAGGGTACGCTCATCTTTTCGCGAACACCTGGTATTATTATTTGATAGTGATTCACATGCTCATGATATAGTCGGAATCGTACTATCGACTCTGCTTCATGCAAATATTTCCCTTTAATATGTAACTTTATTTACATAGTAGAACCAGAGAGCAACACGCACATCGTCCATGTCAGATCAGATGAAACACGTGGATACAAATATGTTTTGTCAAGAGTGAGTGAATAACATCTTACTTATATCGAGTTTCCGTTTGGGGACGTTTGCGCGTGGGAGCTAAGCCAAAGGTGAGACTGGTCCTTTGACACTTAATAATAATAGGCTATGTATAATGCGCATATTTCCACGCCACACAGGGACATGCCCAAAGCGCTATTATTACCCTGGTCAATGGATTAGTGTGCACTCAACAATCATTCTTATCTCCCTGGGGAGAATACATTCAAAGCTGCGGTGGGGCGCTAGAAGGTTAACAACCACATTGCCATCTTATCCTACCGGGTACCCATTCACGGCAGTGTGAACAGAAGCACATTTTTGACAGTCACTTGCCCAAAGATACATCGCATGTGTTACAGTATGGGGCAGGACCAAAGCCCAAGACACTCTCAGGAGCCAAGTTGCCGAAACGCGGTCACCCATCCAAGGCCTCTTTCACCACTTTACCCCCAGGCATGATATCACAACCGGGCACGTTTCGCAATCCCTTGACTGTGGGCTCCTAGGTGGGTAAATTGGGTAAAGTGGGTAAAGCCTGAATTTATGGAGGTCTCAGACGTTTACCTCTTTGGTGACACCTACGAGCACGGCATGGTGGTGACAATCCTAGAAACATAATGAGGTCGAGCCGGGATTTTAACTCACATTCATAGGTTTCTGGCGTGCCCAAGGGACACAACTCTTCGAACCGAATTGCGGGCCAACTATGGCGATGTGTGCAAAAAGGTTTCTTGAATCCTAAATATCGCTATTGCCGTGAAATTCACATAACATAGGACTCGATGTTTCAGGGAAATGATTAGTAGTCACTGTTAAAGGTGGGAGCAAACAAGTCGTCAATCCCCGCTACCCCCGAATAAATGAAGATTTACAAAAAGATACAGTAGTACATTGTATATAGATTAAGATAATAAGCTATTTTCATCAATATATCACAATATATGTGTTCTGTATATAATCTATGTCGATCTCAGATCTAGTATTCCTTGACGAGTAGCCTGTGAGTTAAACATTAGGGATGCTCGGAGTCTGAATATTCTATGACTAGCTGTTTAGTGTCATTATAAGTTGTCGACCGATCTCGAGGGGTATAGGTGTGATGTACCCTGCTTGTAACCTATGTACCCCTCGCCCAACGTCACGGGATACACACAGGGTACATCACGCCATATGCTCAGAGGGATCGGTTGACAACGAATGTATCTCACCGACAGTCATTCATACATATATGGTCAAAGTTTCTCTAAGTAAAATGCATTGATTCAGCTATTTTGACAGCTAGCAGACGACACAACGAACCGATATATTTCCCTTTACCCAATGGATTTGAATAATCATCGGTTCATTTCAGCTCAACGATACTTATGTGAGATAAGCAAGTTACCTGGGTGTGTTACGATTGGTTTCACAGCTGGGTTCATGAGCGGGCTTCAAGAGCGGGCTACATGGAAAATAATTGCCGGCTCCTTAACCAAAAAGAAGCTGGTATTTCAATGTATGGTGAGATAAATTCTGATATAAACTTCTCACGAATAAGGGGCGGTCGGGTAGCCTAATGGTTAAAGCTTTCGCTCGTCACGCCGAAGACCCGGTTCGATTCCCCACATGGGTATAATGTGTGAAGCCCATTTCTGGTGTCCCCCGCTGTGATATTGCTGGAATATTGCCAACAGCGGCGTAAAACCATACTCACTCGCTCACTAACTCACTCACTCACTCTCACGAATAAGCGCATGATGTTCATGAGCGTATGGACCACACATTTAAAAGTTTCCATTTAGAACGAGAATTCTAGAAATTGCGTACACACTGGCGGGCCTCTTCTACATTCCTCGGCATCCCTTGGGGAATTTCCTGGCATCGAATTATTATGGAATCGTTATTTATGATTGCAAAACTAAGAAATGGACACTACGAACGATCGACACCGCGCCCCGAGTGACAGTGGTAGTAAACAGCATTGAAGTGATCTATTGATTTCCTGTTCGACACATCTGTGTAATCACCTATAAATGATCAGCTTATTATACAACTGTGAAGAACGTCTAATCTCCACGCTTTCTCCCCCGCCGCTTTCACCGTGTCGGCCATATTGACGTCAAGCCCCTGCACCGAGGTCAATGTATTACACACCACTGTAACTAAATTGTAGGGAAGTTCTTAACAAAATTACCATAGTATTCAAATATATTTGTTGCATCCGACAGGATGCCGTTACTGTAGGACATATTGGCCTAGCCTACGCTCATTGTATCT